AATTTTCTCGTACCCGCGAAACAAATCCCACCCCCTCAGGGACGACGGAACAACATCGACACGCTGAGGGTGCTAAACCCACGGAGGTGTATCAATTAGCGGGCGCCGTTAAACGGGAAAGCTATTAACGCGTTTCCAAGGGGAAAACGCTGAAGCCACCGGACGCGGATGCAAATGAGCGTGCGAAAAATCGCTGGAGAGGTGGATTTTCATTACTATTTTATATTGTATACATATATACCTATCTCGAAAGAATGGCGAAAATGCAAAGGAGGATTTATTTCTGATACGTTTCATAATTGCGGGATCGAAAGAAATAATCGTTAATTATCTGTGAATTTTTCAGCGGTATTAATATTGTACGGTGAAACAATGATACCGGACCAGATAAATACGAAGTGTATGGACGAGACTTCGATTCAATCATTTTGTACTAAAGGTGTAATAGGAATAGATGAGCAAACTTGAATAACGTGCTCCACCCACCACTTACGACACCCACGAAACCGCACAGAAATGATCTTTAATTGTTAATATCTTGTAAACTGTCAACCATTTATGCCCACAGGGGGATATGGACGTATTCACAGCTTATACTAGGCTAGTTCCCCTTGTTGAAGACGAAGAAAGGTCGCAAAGTGATCGCAGCTGTACACTCTTTACAACTCCGCGTAACGATAATTTCGCCGTGGACAATCCCGGAAATCATAAAAAATTAAGTTCCTTTAAATAACCGCTTGTTCTTATGTTCATTCACGATCCGAACTGCGTGTGACGTTCAAGTGCGCTAAAAGGAAGACGTGTAATTTTGTCGATTCATTTCATAAATCCTTCGAGCCCGCGGGGCAATTGTGTAGCTGGCGGCAACGAATGAACAAAAAGAAAGGAAACGCGACGAGAGGAATTACTATCGCGAAGAAGTGACCGATGGATGATTCAGGTGGAGCAATGGCTCCGCGAAAAAAACCGTACCGTACACTGTACACTCGTTCACCTTCGCGACACTGGGCCACACAACACACACACACACTGTTACACCGGGGAGTCACGGCGATCGATAGGGAATTCTTTTCCATTAGGTCGTGGGGATAATCGATTTTCTTCGCGAGACGGAAAGCTGGACACGCTCGTAATTCTATCTATATATATCTTCTATCTATATATATATATATAT